AAAGGATTAAAGTGCTGATACGTACTACAGCCTACACCCACCTTGCAACATTTTGCCAAGTGCGAAAAAAGCCAGTTATAAACGACTACATATTGTATGATTCCTTTTGTATGAAATGTTCTAAATAAGCAAATCTATTGAGACAGAAAGCAGATTCGTGGTTGTCTGAGGCTGGGGTGTGGGGGAGGAGGGAAATAAGGAGTGACTGATGATGGATACAGGGTTTCTTTTGGGGGTGATGAAAATGTTCTAAAATTAGATTGTGGTGATTCTTGCACAACTGTGTGAATATGTTTAAAACCACTAAATAAAAAATTGTAAAAAAGAGAAAACAAAACAAGCAGATAAAAATCACTGAACTGTAAAAGAACAGAAAGAGGACCAGAGAGAAAATGCTACTCATTCCTTTTACATAAATAATAAAATACACAATCCTCAGAGGTGACTGAAAAATGCGCCTGAAGTCATTTACACTAAAGCTTTACAGATGACCTGGCATGGTGTGTTGTTTGCTTTAAAATGCTCCACATACCACCCCGTGCAAAGTGACCTTGGCTGGGGGCGAGATGAAATACAATAGGCAAAACTCTTCATAAAAGCTGGCGATGGGCACATGGGTATTCATGGCGCCGCTCTATTTTTGTGAATGTTAAAGTTTTTGTCCATAATAAAAGTTTAAAAAAGAGAGAGAATGAAAGCATCTGTAATCTGCAGTTCAGCAGTTACGCATCAAATACGATCTGTAGGTGTGCGTGCCTTTGGGGAGCTGTGTGTGGGGGTCTGTGGCTGTTGACAGACACACCTTGGTTTCTGTGAACCTGCATTTCTATGGATGAAGGCAGGGAGGGATTCCTGGAAGGGGGTGACAAAGCCATCTGGGGATGTGTGACTTTGCTAGGGCTATGTAAAAATGACCACAACCTGGGGAGCTGAAAACAACAGCAATTTCTTTGTCTTTCTTTCTTTCTTTTTTTTTTGGAGACCATCTTGCTCTGTTGCTCAGACTGGACTGCAGTGGCATGATCTCAGTTCACTGCAACCTCTGCCTCCTGGGTTCAAGTGATTTTCCTCCCTCAGCCTCCTGAGTAGCTGGGATTACAGGTGTGTGCCACCATGCCTGGCTAATCTTTTTGTATTTTTAGTAGAGACGGGGTTTCACTGTGTTGGCCAGACTGGTCTTGAACTCCTGACCTCAGGTGATCTACCGCCTCAGCCTCCCAAAATACTGGGATTATAGATATGAGCCACTGCGGCCAACCAACAATAGTGATTTCTTCTCTCATATTCTGGAAGCCAGAAGTCTTCAGTCAAGGTGTCTGTCGGGCCAGTCTCCCTCTGAAGGCTGCGGGGTGGGGATATCCTTCCTTGCCACTTCCAGCTTCTGGTGTCATTGACAGTCCTGGGTGTCTGTTGCTTGTAGACTCACCACTGCAATCTCTGCCTCATTACAGGACATTCTCCCTGGATCTCTTCACATATTCTTCCCCCTGTGTGTGTCTGTCTCTGTCTCTGCTTCCTGATCTGATAAGGACCCCCATCATATTGGAGCAGGGCCCACTCTAATTAAGTATGACCTCGTTTGAACTTGATTATATCTGCAAAGATCCTATTTCCAAATAAGGTCACAGTTACAGGTAGTGGGGGTTAGGATGTCAATATTTCTTGTTGGGGGACACACTTTTAACCTACGAAAGAGCAGAAGGCAGGATAAGCAGAGATAGATTCTTGGAGTGTAAATCCAGAGAGATGAAGCCCCAGCTGCCCCCTAGGCAGGCTGCAGAGCACAAATTTACAGTGATTAGACTTGACCTTAACGCATCATTCGCTGGCCAACTTTATTTTTTCCAAACGGAGACAAGCCTTTTCTGGGACCCATTTCCCACTCAGCAGTTTGGACTGAGGAGTGACACATCTAGACCCTTCCATTCAATCAACTCTTTTCACCAGAAAGCTTTTGGGGATAATTCTAATGCGTATTCACTTAAGAAATGTTTCAGAAAAAGCTAGTTTCTTACTCTTTGACACAGACATGCACATTTAGAGTTTATCTTCTGAGCTGGCTGCTAAAGTTGTTTTAGACTCTACAGTTAAATTGACCCAGAAATAATTCCTCGTTTGAAATTCCCTTTGCAATGTTTCTCACTCTGACTCTGACTCCAGGTTACATTGTGCTGTTTTTGCTCTTTAATCTCACACTGGCCTTTGACCAAAGGCAATAAAATCTGACTTCTGTATTAAATGGTACTTGAAATATATATAATGTTATTTGAGTAATCCGGATGTCTGATAATTGCAAATGTATTTTCATATGATTGTTTGAAGAGTTTCATGGGAAAAATGCAAGCTGCTCATACTTCCTGAACCGTGTGAGCTGTTTACTGCTGAGAACTTTCCAGAGGAGGTTGGAGGGAGCAGAAAGCTGAAGAGAAGGGCTGGATTTGGGCTTTGTTTGCCTGGACTCTCTCCACAGTTATCGTCAACCTACATTTCAGCTCCAATCCATAGGAGTCATTTGCAACTCATCTGTTTTCATCTCTTTGCTCCCAGGAGTGTGGAAAAGACAGGAGCAGAGAGGAGCTGAAGTTTTGCAGAGGATAGGGAGGAGGTTGGCTTGACCCAAGTGGAGAGAGGAGGTGGGGGTTGAGAGCAGCTGGAGAGAGCTTTGGCTGCTGGTGTGGGTAGCTGGGATTTTTATTATTTATTTATTTATTTTTGAGACAGAGTCTTGTTCTGTCACCCAGGCTGGAGTGCAATGGCGTGATCTCGGCTCACTGCAATCTCCGCCTCCCAGGTTCAAGCAATTCTCCTGCCTCAGCCTCCTGAGTAGCTGGGATTACAGGGCACCCACCACCATGCTTGGCTAATTCTTGTATTTTTAGTAGAGACAGGGTTTCACCATGTTGGCCAGGATGGTCTCACTCTCCTGACCTCATGATCCACCCACCTCGGCCTCCCAAAATGCTGGGATTAGAGGCATCAGCCACTGCGCCTGGCCAGGGATTTTTCTTTTTTTCTTTTGAGATGGAGTTTTGCTCTTGTCACCCAGGCTGGAGTGCAGTGGCATGATCTCAGCTCACTGCAACCTCTGCCTCCTAGGTTCAAGCGATTCTCCTGCCTCAGCCTCCTGAGCGGCTGGGATTACAGGCGCCTGCCACCATGCCCAGCTAATAATTTGTATTTTTAGTAGAGACAGGGTTTCACCATGTTGGCCAGGTGAGTCTCAAACTCCTAGCCTCAAGTAATGCACCCGCCTCAGCTTCCTAAAGTACTAGGATTACAGGCATGAGTCGCCGCCTCTGGTCAAAAGCTGGCATTTGAACCATTGTCAGTTCCTGAACAGAGATTTAAGAGATTGATGAGCACTGGATGAAATCTTAATCCTCTGTCATCACTGGTACTTATGTAGACGTGGGAGAATAGGAGGATAACAGTATCCAAACAGGCTGATAGTATTTCAAGACCGTCCATGTGTTGCTTGAGTCCTAAGGGCTGGGCATGGTGCTAACAGCTTTATGTGTGTGGGGCACCTGCCAGCTGCCCTGCTTCTCTAGCCTATGTGTGATGGGAATTCATTCTTTTACCTGCATGGGCTTTTCCATTTTGCTTTTCAAAAACCCACATTTACAGCAGACTCCCATTCTCACAGTAAAGCGCACCATAGAATCACTTTACATCGCAAGTCCTCCCCTCTCCTACAGTGCAATTAATCTACTCTATACAGCTGGCAGAAAGTCTGTTTACAAAGAGCTCTGTGAGAGGACCCTTTTCTTCAAAGCGCAGAAACAGAAATCAGAAAGGCTCAGGTTCATTGATGGCCCACTTACCACAGGCAATATTTAATGCAATAGAATTAATTGTACTGCTAGAAAAGACTGGAATGAGGTCCTAGGAGCTTTTTATAACCGATTGAAAGACACCATAGACTCTGCCCCTGACATCCAGCCAGAACCCGCCCCTAGCCCACAGTACAGCCAGGATTTTTTTTTTTTTTTAAACTATCATTAAAAAAAAAAAAAAGATTTTCCAAGGTGAGAACATTATTTCCTTTGTCAGTTTGGATCAGAGTCATATCCCTAACAAGTCAAAGTTGTTCTTTTTAGCCCTTCTGATGATTTGAGTCCGTTCCTTTGAAGCTGTGCTCTCGGTGGAGATGGAAGAGACTCGCCTTTCAGTGTATGGAAACCCTGTTCCCTTCCTGTGAACTGCTGTTCATGCGCACATTTAAATCATTGCTACTTTCTTTTCTGGTGTTACTTTCTGACCTCTTGGTTATTTTCTGTTTTCCGTTGGACTTTTGAATTGCTCCATGTTTTTTTTTTTTTTTTTTTTTTTAAATAGCACCTCAGCCTGTTCACACTAGAAAATGTTTGTCTTATTTTGCATGTCCCTTTTCTCAAAGGATAAAGGGAAGAACTGGCCAGGTATGGTGGCTCACACCTGTAATCCCAGCACTTTGGGAGGCCAAGGTGGGCGGATCACCTGAGGTTAGGAGTTCAAGACCAGACTGACCAATATGGAGAAAACCCGTCTCTACTCAAAATACAAAATTAGCCAGAATGTGGTGGCGTGTGCCTGTAATCTCAGCTACTTAGGAGGCTGGGCAGGAGAATCGCTTGAACCCTGGAGGCAGAGGTTATGGTGAGCCAAGATTGTACAATTGGACTCAAGCTTGGGCAACAAGAATGAAACTTTGTCTCAAAAAGAGAGAGAGAGAGAGAGAGAAAGAGAGAGAGAGAGAGAGAGAGAGAGAGAGAGAGAGAGAGAAGAACCATTTCTATGAATTGCTGACATCTCTGTGGAGGCTAGCTGCTAAGTGAAGGAAAGCATGGCAATGACTTGGAGGAGATCAGAGGCCCCCAGCCTCCTTCATGCCAAACAACATCCAGATGAGGGCCTCTTGCTTCTTTTAGATCCACGCTCCGAGCCCAGATTATGGTCTTGGATGGCCGTTGTAGTGAGGAGTCTGGCCAACCTAACCCATGTGCCTTATGTTAACTTACAGTATTGAGAATGATCCAAGATGGCCGATCGCTAACATCCCAGGATTGCAGCTCTCAGGGAAGGCGCGGAGAACTAGAGGACGCCACACTTTCGACAAATTCTGGTCTCTCACGGAGCAGAAGATCCCCCAGTGGAGGAAACACACGGGTGGCCAGCACGACTCTCGTGGCTGGCGCAGAGGTTCCACCGGCTCCTCGGCGCAGCAGCTCTCGGAGCAAACAGGTTCGGAGGACCCACACGGGCCCCCAGCATGACACCAGAGCCCGGCAGCGGCTGTGATGGCACCTCAGCGTGGCAGCGCTCAGCGCAGAGTAAACGGGACTGGTTCCCCTTCTGACCGAGGTTTGGAGCCCCGGGAAGGCAGAGTCACCTACTACGGACACAAGAAGGAAGCCAGACAGGAGAATCCTGGGCAGAAAAGCACCATCAGTTTTAACGCCGCTGCTCTGGCCCTGGGAACTAACAACCTGGACGCCCACTCAAGAGACCTAATCTGAAAGTTGGTAATTTCAAAGACGACAGGAGGATAAATTTACAATGACGGGAAGAAACCAGCGTAAAAAAGCTGAGAATACTCAAAGTCAGAACGCCTCTCCCTCTAAAGATGATCACAGTTCCACATCAACAATGGAACAAGGCTTGATGGAGAACGAGCGCCTCCTGATGACAGAATCGCTCTTCAAGGAATGGATAATAACAAACTTCGGTGAGTTAAAAGACCATGTTGTAGCCCAATGTAAAGAAACTAGGAACTTTGAAAAAAGGTTTGATGAAATCCTATTGAGAATAGACAACTTAGAGAGGAGTATGAGTGAATTAATGGAACTGAAGAATACAATACAGGAACTCCGAGAAGTATGCACAGGTTTAAACACTCGAATTGTTCAAGCAGAAGAAGGGATATCAGAGGTCAAAGTCCAACTTAATGAAATAAAATGTGAAGAAAAGATTAGAGAAAAAAGGATAAAAAGGAATGAGCAAAGTCTCCAAGAAATGTGGGACTATGTGAAAAGACCAAATTTACGTTTGATAGGTGTACCTGAATGCGACGGAGAGAATGAATCCAAGCTGGAAAATACCCTTCAGGATATTATTCAGGAAAATTTTCCTAAACTAGCAAAGCAGGTCAACATTCAACCCCAGGTAATACAGAGAACACCACAAAGATATTCCTCAATAAGAGCAACCCCGACGGAATGGAGTGGCCAACGGCTTGCAGAGCAACATGCCCAAGTTTTATTGTGACTACTGCAATACATACCTCACCCATGACTCTCCATCTGTGAGAAAGACACACTGCAGTGGTAGGAAACACAAAGAGAATGTGAAAGACTACTATCAGAAATGGATGGAAGAGCAGGCTCAGAGCCTGATTGACAAAACAACGGCTGCATTTCAACAAGGAAAGATACCTCCTACTCCATTCTCTGCTCCTCCTCCTGCAGGGGCGATGATACCACCTCCCCCAAGTCTTCCGGGTCCTCCTCGCCCTGGTATGATGCCAGCACCCCATATGGGGGGCCCTCCCATGATGCCAATGATGGGCCCTCCTCCTCCTGGGATGATGCCAGTGGGACCTGCTCCTGGAATGAGGCCACCCATGGGAGGCCATATGCCAATGATGCCTGGGCCCCCAATGATGAGACCTCCTGCCCGTCCCATGATGGTGCCCACTCGGCCTGGAATGACTCGACCAGACAGATAAGGATAGAGGGGAGGCCTCATTCTGTCAGTTTTATATTACCTGTTCGGCTTCACCAGGAGATCATGCTGCTGTGATGCTGGGTTTTCTAAACAGCATAAGGAAGACTTGCTCCCCTGTCTGATCAAAGAGAATAGTTTTGGAGGGGAGAGGTGGGGCAAAAAGATGCAGTTTTCATTTGTATTGGGAAATGTGAAAATAAAACTGTCAACTCTTTTAGTTAAAAAAAAAAAAAAAAAAAGAAGAGCAACCCCAAGGCACATAATCGTTAGATTCACCAGGGTTGAAATGAAGGAGAAAATACTAAGGGCAGCCAGAGAGAAAGGTCAGATTACCCACAAAGGCAAGCCTATCAGACTTACAGCAGATCTCTCAGCAGAAACTCTACAAGCCAGAAGAGAGTGGGGGCCAATATTCAACATCCTCAAAGAATAGAACCTTCAGCCCAGAATTTCATATCCAGCCAAACTAAGCTTCACAACTGAAGGAAAAATAAAATCTTTTATGAACAAGCAAGAACTCGGAGATTTTATTACCACCAGGCCTGCTTTACAAGAGCTTCTGAAAGAAGCATTACACACAGAAAGAAACAACCAGTATTAGCCTTTCTAAAAATACACCAAAAAGTAAAGAGCACCAACATAAAGAAGCATTTACACCAACAAATGGATAAAACAGCCAGTCAACATCAAATGGCAGTAACCCTAAATTTAAACTGACTAAATCCCCTAATCAAAAGACACAGCCAAAACCCAATGGCATGTTACATCCAGACCTGTTTCACATGCAAGGATACACAAAGACTCAAAACAAAGGGATGGAGAAAGATTTACCAACCAAATGGAGAGCAAAAATAAATAATAAATAAATAAAAAGCAGGAGTTGCAATTCTCGTATCGGATAAAATAGATTTTAAAGCAACAAAGGTATAGTGGTAAAAGGATCAATGCAACAACAAGAGCTAATGATCCTAACACCCAGATACGAGACTTAGATTCAATGAGACAGAAAATTAATAAGGATATCAAGGACTCGATCTCAGATCCGGAACAAGTAAACTTAATAAATATTTATAGAGCTCTCCACTTCAAATACACAAAATATACATTTTAGTCAATACCACATCACACCTACCCATAAGTTTAAATGAAACATTGATGGGCCATTATTAATACCCAATTTTTTTCAAAATAAAGCAATATTTCCATTTACTCTCCCTCTTTCTTTTCCTCTTTCTTCCTCTCCTTTACTTATTTTTTTTTTTTCTTTCTTTCTCTCAAAAAAAAAAAGAAATCAACTTGTAAACCTTTAGATCCAGGTTGGCAATGTCTCTCTCATTGCTTGATTCCCTTCCTTCCCTTCCCTCCCTCCCTCCCTCCCTCCCTCCCTGCTTCTTTCCTTCATCCTTTCCTTCCTCCCTACCGTCCTTCTTCTCTCCCTTCCTGCCTTCCTCCCCCCCCCCAAAAAAAATAACTTACAGTATTAAGCAAACATTTGCTTGGTAATCTACAATCATCTATCTGTCTGTCTATCTATCTATATTTATTTATTTAGAGATGGAGTCTCACTCTGTAGCCCAGGCTGGAGTGCAGTTGCATAATCTTGGCTTACTGCAGCTTCTGCCTCATGGGTTCAAGCCATTCTTCTGCCTCAGCCTACTGAGTAGCTGGGATTACAGGCATGCGCCATTATGCCCAGCTAATTTTTGTATTTTTAATAGAGACAGGGTTTCACCATGTTGACCAGGCTGATCTTGAACTCTGGACCCCGAGTGATCCGCCTGCCTCAGTCTCCCAATGTGCTGGGATTACAGGTGTGAGCCACTTTGCTCTGCCTAATCTATGGCCACTATCTCAAGTTCTTGCCACTACCCTTAAGCAGGTTCTGTGTGAGCGGTCCTCCTGATCAGCAGTGGATAGCTGCTTTAACTTGCCTGAATAACAACTGTTATACCACATCCTTGTGTCCTGCAATGCAGTTTAGACACATAAGAAAATAGTACGAACCTCAGCCTGGTGCAGTGGTTCATGCCTGTAGTTTCAGCCTTTTGGGAGATGAAGGCAGGAGGATCACTTGAGTCCAGGAGTTCGAGACCAGCCTGGGCAAGATAATGAGACTCTGTCTCTACTGGAAAAAAAAAAAATTGGCCAGCCATGGTGGTGCATACCTGTGGTCCTAGCTACTTGGGAGGGAGGATTGGAGGTGGAGGCTGCAGTAAGCTGTGATCATGTCACTGCACTCCAGCCTGGGTGACAGAGCAAGACCCTGTCTCAAAAAGAAAAAAAAAGAAAAAATAAAGGCCAGGCACAGTGGCTAACACTTGTAATCCCAGCACTTTGGGAGGCCGAGGTGGGTGGATCATCTGAGGTCAGGAGTTCGAGACCAGCCTGGTGGTTTCATCAACATGGTGAAATCCCATCTCTACTAAAAATACAAACATTACCTGGATGTGGTGGCAGATGCCTATAATCCCAGCTACTCGGGAGGCTGAGGCAGGAAGATCGCTTGAACCCAGGAGGCAGAGGTTGCAGTAAACCGAGATCGTGCCATTGCACTCCAGCCTTGGTGACAGAGTGAGACTCCATCTCAAAAAAGAGATATAGAACCAACCTTGTACATTTTGTACCAGCTCTCAGGGGACTTCCTGCACCACTTAGACTATCATTCTTCCAGAGCAGGTGTCCCCAGGGATCGTCTGTAGCAGTTGCAAACAACACTTAACAAAATGTTAATAGCCATGAATCTATGTGTATTAGAAAAAATATGGCTGGGCCTGGTGGCTCATACCTGTAATCCCAGCACTTTGGGAGGGCAAAGTGGGTGGTCACTTGAGCCCAGGAGTTCAAGACCAGCCTGGATGACATGGTAAAACCCTGGCTCTACAAAAGCACAAAAATTAGCCAGATGTAGTGGCGCACACCTGTAGTCACAGCTACTTGGGAGGCTGAGGTGGGAGGATGGCTTGAGCCTGTGGGGGCAGAGGTTGTCATGAGCTGAGACAGAGCCACTGCCCTCCAGCTGGGGCAATAGAGTGAGACCCTGTCTCAAAAAGAAAAATTATAACATGCACATAAGACCTGAGACATGCACATCCTTTTCAAAAGTCATCAAAGTTAAAAAGTGAGTCATATTTAAAAACGATTAGCTAGGTAACTCTAGGAGACAGTGTATGACTATGGAGAACACCCTGAAGGCCTAGAACCCTTTACGGGGAGGCTCTGAAGGCTGCCCTAAGCCCTTTCATTTTTCACTCTTCCATCTTCATTATTCCTTCTCTCTTTTCTCTTTAAGTTCTTCATCTTCTGGGCCTGTGTCTCCTTCTCTTCCTCCCTTTAAGCTTCTCTGGTGGTGGAAAGAGGGTCACATTTAGTGATCATGTATTACTTGCTAGAAGGTCACAGATGTAAGGCAGATACTCTCTACTAGCGGGGCTTTGGGTGATTTCTCTGGAGTACTTTTTGAATTTGCATGTGCTTACCTTTGGGAGTCACCTGGAGATCTGGTTAAAGCGTAGATTCTTGCCCAGGCAGATTAGAGTAGGGCTGAGATGTTTGTATTTCTGGCAAGCTCCAAGTGATGCTGCTGTGGTTGGTTCATGGGTCACAATTGAAGTCATGAGGGTTGATCATGGAGCTCTATTTCTTTTCTTTTTTCTTTTCTTTTTGAGACAGAATCTTACTCTGTCAGGCTGGAGTGCAGAGGCACGATCTCAGCTTACTGCAACCTCTGCTTCCCAGGTTCAAGAGATTCTCCTGCCTCAGCCCCACAAGTAACTGGGACTACAGTCACATACCACCAAGCCCGGCTAATATTTTGTAATTTTACTAGAGATGAGGTTTCACCATATTGGTCAGCCTTGTCTCTAACTCCTGACCTCAGGTGATCCACTTGTCCTGGCCTCCCAAAGTGCTGGGATTACCAGCACTGTGCCTGACCACTGTGCCCGGCCATGGAGCTCTATTTCTTTAGAGAATTAAGAACAGAGAAATACATATTTTAGGAAGAGGATGAGTCTAAAACCACCTCTTTCATCTGCAGTGAAGCCAATTATTAAGAACACTTTAAGAGTCTAGTATGTTTTGCTCTCTGGAAGAAATCTAAGATGGTTCCTTTATACTGACCAAGGCAGTTTGTAATAAAAACTGTTGGCTCAACTTGTTGCTAGGGTACCGCCAGGGAACCAGCACAAAGAAAATCTGTAACTTAATATCATCGCGTGGGAACTAACGAGCTCTGGACATGCAGGAAGGGAGGGTTCTGCTTCCCTCCTTTGCTCAGGTGATGGGCTAGCACCCATGTCCAACTAGGCAAACCTGCAGGTATAGCCATTCGGGGCTGCTGCAGAGCTGTTTCTCTGGGTAGAGAAAATTGGATTGTTGAATTGTTCCAAATATATTGGTATGCTCCCATCTCCCATCCATTTGGTTATGAGAACCGGACCTGCAGACATGTTCTGAGGGTTATAATAG